CACCCCTGAGCCTCTGACCTGTACCCCAGTTCTATATGTATAAATAGATAAATCTTTAAAAAAAAAAAATCCAGCATCAAAAGTTTATAGACTCAAAAGTATACCATGAAAGAAGTTGGACATTTCATCTGAAATTAAGAAACCTATAACCTATATATCCTTTAAAAACAGGTTTCTAAGGACAAACTATATATAAAAGAATATAATTATACAATTTTCAAATGAGACACATCTAACTGCTGATTACACATGAAACACTAATAAGAATCATATAGACCAGCTTAAGTGCTTTTCCCCATTCAATCACTCTTATATAACTGGGTTCCCATGTTCTCCATGGAGCCTCCATAACTCACTCTCTGCCACTACCAATCCAGTCACTAAGGGCATTTCCTCCCACAAAGAACCAAGGCACTTTTTCAATATGATACATAATATTTTTGACCTTCTATTATAGTTACTGATGTATATATCCTATCTTCCTCTACTGTGTATGTTTTATTTTTCTATCTTTATATAGCTTAACTCAGAAGAATGTGTTGATTATGGGTCAATGACCTAAAGCCAGATTATCCTAAGTAGATATTTTTTTATGCTTACAGAACTGGGGTTCGGGCCAGAGATATATTAGGTGAGAGGATTCACTAGAGACAGAGTAGGGAGCAGAACAGGCCGACTGACAAAGTACACTGCTGAGGGGAGTAGCGGGTGGGTCAGGAAAGGTCTGCCACACCATGTGGGTCAGCTCCCTGGTTAGGGATTGAACTTGTGATGCAGTGGCTTCAGTGAGTTTCATAAAGTGGTACTTTAACCCGTTGCACCACCAGGGAGAGCCTATCCTAAGTAGACTTTTGTAAGTTAAATACAGGGCCTCCCTGGTGGTACAGGAGTTAAGTCCTCAGCACTAGGAAGCTATCCATGGCCACTGCAGCCCAAGCTCAATCCCTGGCCAGGGAGCTGACCTACATGATGCTGCAGACTTCTACAGCCTCGCCTACTGCTTGCCTCACTGGTATATTTCAATGGATCTGCCTGTTCTGTTCCCCATTATGTCTCTGGTGAATTCTCTCACCCCAGCACCTCTGACCTACACCCCCAACTCTTGTATGCATAAATAAATAAATCTTAAATCCAGAAAATTATAAATATATATGTGTGTATATAGGAATGTATCTATATACATATATATAGCTATTATGTCAATATATGATAAAACAGACTCACAAAAATTTCAATTAATTGAAAGCAGATATTAAAAACAAGTACAAAGAACCAAGTGATCATATAGAAAGCAATAACAAGATGATAGATTCAAACCTAATCATAACGGTTATCGTATTAAATGAGTTAAACATTCCAATTAAAATATTTCAAGGATGCATCTACAAATCCACTTTTGAAATAGGTTAAAAGTAGACAATAGAGAATATAGGAGTATGAATTTAGGGAGAGGCCTTGGCTGAAGTATCAACTTGTAAGTCCCTGGTATATAGATAGTTATTGAGGTAAGAGTGCATACAGTTATCCAGGGTAAGAATATAGCATGTGTAGATTTGGAATATTTGATTTTGCCAAAATTCTGTTTTAAATCTTTGTACTGAATACCATTCTTTGAATGATGCCGACTTCAAAACCCTCTATCATTTTATATCTCACTTGCTTACATTAGTTGTTTGATTTTTGAAATAATTTGATTTATAATTCCTGATAAATGAGTTGAGGATGTGAATTTTCCAGTACATAAAGATATGTGATGTAGAATAGATAATACCTTACTATGTGGAAGCAGTTTTGTTTTCTGTCTCTGCACTTAGTAATAACTGGTTATATGGTCTCTAGGAAATCATTTGTTCTTTATAGGCCTTAATTTCCTCATCTCTAAAATAAGGAAGTGAGTCTAGTTATTGAAGTCCTTCTGTTATTGAAGTCCTTCTGCTTATATCCTAAGAGGCCTCTGGTTCTAGTACATATATTAATCTTTGAGCAAATAGCAAAAGAGTACAAATGGCAATGGCAAAAAGAATTTCACATAAAATTTTCAAATGGATCTCTATTTATGCCTCTGAGAGATCAGAGTTGAAAATGAGGCCTCAGAGAGAATCAAGGTAAATAAACACTCACATAGTCATCCATGGCATCTTTGACAGCTGTCATAGTTATCACCAGGACCAAAGGCACAACGGTAGTAAGCCAGGCCAAGGAGGAGATATCTGGAATCAGCTGCAACAAACATTTTGGGTCATTTAGAGATTTGAAAGTTAGGAAATCTCTCTGCCAAATTTTGTCCTATCTCAATGAGACAGTTTTCCCATGAATTCAATCACACATGAACAAAATATTCTCTAGGATATATACCCTTTTTGCTTAAAATAATTCAGTATTTTGGGTCCTCTAGTAGTACAAAGGGTTAAGTCTCAGCACTCTAAGCAATCTTCAGTCACTGCAGTCCTAGTTCGTTCCCCAGCCAGGAAGCTGACCCACATGGCGCAACAGATCTCTCCTGTCTCACCAGCTTCTCTCCTCATCAATGTATTTCAGTCAGTCTGCCTGTTTTGTTCCCCATTCTGTCTCTGGTGAGTCCTCTCCCCACCCCCATCTCTGGCATATACCCTAGCTCTTGAATACATAAATAAATAAATCTTTTTAAAAAAAACTAATAATTTAGCTTTCTGCCTGTTTTAATAATTACTCAATGAGAAAGTTATTATTCTAGACTACACAATTTAACTCATAGCCCTACCTTCTATAATTAACACAGAACCCAGCAGATTCTGAATCTGTTCTACTTAAAGCACTCTAGTTATTTAGTACATAACTAGCTAACATAAACTGTTTATATGTATGTATATATCTATATCTATATATATACATATATATGTATATATCTATATCTATATATGTATATATATAGATATAGATATATATAACATCTTTAATGATACATCAACCAGAGTAACATCTTTAAAGATATATCGCCCAAAGTAGGAATAGAGAAGGAAACGATAAACAGGACTACATCAAGTTAAAGAGCTTCTTTACAGAAAAAGAGACATTACACAAAACAAAGAGACACTCCACTGATTGGGTGAAAATTTTTGCACGCAGTACTAAAGACAAAGGATGGATAACAAAGATAGACAAAGAGCTGATAAAACTCAAGAAAAATAAAGCAAAAACACCCTCAAAAAATTGGAAGAAGAGTAACAAAGACAGATCTCCAAAGAGGAAATGAAGACTGTCAGTAGACATATGAAAAAATGTCAACATTGCAAATTAAAAACACTATAAATACCATCTCACACCAGTGAGAATGGCATATATTAAAAGAAGCAACAACAAATGGTAGCAAGGAGGTAGAGAGAAAGGAACTCTCCTGCACTGCTGGTGGGAATGCAAACTGGTACAACCACTATGGAAAGCTGTTTGGAGGTTTCTCAAATTGCTAAAAATGGTGTTTCCCTATGACCCAGCAATCCCACGCCTAGGTATCTACCCAAAAGACACAAAAACATTGATTCAAAAGGACAACTGCACCCCCATTTTATTGCTGCTCTATTTACAATAGGGAAGACATGGAATCAATCCAAATTCCCAAAAATAGATGATTGGGTTAAAAAGATGTGGTACATATACACAATGGAATATTACTCAGCAAGCAAAAATGATAAACTCATGCCAGATGGTTTCACTCATAGCAAGAGCATAAGGGATCAGGTTCTAATAAAGTAAAAATAACAACTGTAAACCAGAGACATTTTACAGGGGTAGAGAGGGGAAAGGATCAATACTGGGATGGGAAGAGTGCACAAGACTATGGTGATGGCACGTGGGTGAATTGGTGGTGGGAAGTCCATGGAGATTACAAGTGAGATGAAAAAATACACAAAATGAAAAATGATGTAAAATATAAGTAAATAAAAATAATTTTTTTAAAAAGAAAGAAATCACAAAAAAACATATATAATAAGTAAAAGCTCAACTTTTAGTTAGACAGGAGGAAAAAGAAAGGTTAATAACTATCAATTAACCACTCAAGACTAAAATATAGTCACTTTGCAGTGAAATAGCATATAGCATAGAGCACTTACTATTTACTTTCATATATATACATATATGAAAAATTAGGAATATGCTGCAGTCATTTTATTTAACTGCTTTTTGTTCTTAACTTTCCTTTCCCTTTTCTAAAGTTGCTTCTTTAGAAAAAAATGTGTTGTGATTTGAGAATGACAATACGATTTATATATATATATAGATTATATTTATATATATATATATTTGAGAATGACAATACATATATATATATATAATGAATTGTCATTCTCAAATGCAAGTGAAATTTGCAAAATGGGGTTGCACAAACTACCACCCAGCTAAAACTGTGCCTCCACTCATGCAATGTGTGCTGTTTACATGAGGGGAGCAAGCAAGAAAGAAGGTTACAAAAAACAAGAGGCTCTGGTTTGGCTCAAATAAAGTGCAAGGTTGCATTTTACAATGAGCTCAGTGTCTCGAATGATGAATGTACTAGTTTTTGCCCAGTCCAACCACATTTGTGGAAACAGCAATAATAGCATTAAAAATCTGATAAGAATGGCTTTACCCAATCATGAACATTTAGCTAAAAGAATTAACATACTTTTTCAAAACTTATTAATACCTCTGACAAACACATAAACTTTACCTGTAAAATCAGAAGGACAAGGAAATAGGCATTTGCCAGTCTTTGGAACTGTTCAAATAAATTAATTGGCAAGAAGGTAAGAATGTTGTACTTGGATGTGTGGATACGATTATCCTGAAAAGGAAATGGCATCATATTAGTTTGGGGCAAGACATTGCTCATTATCAGCAGTAGCTCAAAAACTTACAAGGTTGAATATGAATAATGACAGATAAGCCAGTTATCTAGGAAATTTAAAAGATAAGCCAGTTATCTAGGAAATTTGAAAGGCCCAAGGTCTTTATTTTCCCCAAAATGACTTGCTCCTGGGTCTGGGAGTTCAATGCTATAAAATCACCATGAATAAAAAATGTATCAACTGCCCCTCAGATTATTTTTACCTGAGATAGTTTATTTTTATGTTTTCATTTATTTGGCAGATAGTCCTTAAGCACCCACTACATGTAGATTTGACACTGAACTCGTGCCAGGGGCCTATGAGGTTAGAAGGAACTTTGGAGATCATCTAACCACCTTCCCAGATTACGCCATTTAGTAACCCTGACAAGGAGTCTTGCTTTAGGAGATCATCTATAGTGGAAACTAACCACTTCCCCAAGGCAGCCCTTTTACATTTCAGAAGGAAAATTGCTAGAAAGGACTTCATTTTTATAAGAAACTGAAATCTAAATTTTTGTCATCTGACAAATTCCATCCATGGGAATTTGTCTAAGCCCTTTCCATCTTGACAATCTTGAAATAGTAAGAGATTAGTCATGGAACTCCCCTAAATCTTTTCCATTCTAATCCAGAGATTCCAACACCCTCATTCTCCGTGATATATTTTATAGGTATCTCTTCAAGATCAGCCTACTCTAGAATCACCCCAACTTTTCTTCATCTCACTAAAACACAGTATGTTGTGTATGTGTGTGTATGTATATAGACACATATATTTAAAAGATCTAAGATTTCATTAATATTTTGGCAACTCTATCATATTTTTAATATTAATTCTTGATTAACTCAATTCAGTCTCCCCTTCCTAAACATTTATAACTGATTTTTTAATGTTAACATGTAAGAGCTTTAATATAGGCCTATTACATCAGTCTAAATTTTAAAAAAGAATTTAATTTTTAATATGCTATCCTAAAATAGTAAATATTCCTATTAGCTTGTGTCATCAAAAAATTTCAAATACATGCCTTTTATATATTCTTCCAAAGCTTTCAGCTAATATATTACCAAGGTCAGGGACACCAATTTTTCTTTTTTTAATTAAAGAGATAAAACTGTAGCAAACTGCTAGAGCTCTCACCACAGGTTAATGTTTACAACTTTTTCTGGTGTTTATATAAACCATATTAAATATTTAGGTCCACATAACTTCACTCCCATGAGGCTTAATTCTATCTTTCACACAACGGTAGCATGAGAAATTTGGGGTGGCAGGTCTTGCTGAAATTCATAATCAACATGGCTAGGAAATTTCCATTCACTAACATTTTAAAACTGGGATTAGTTAGTGTGACTTGTTTTAAGTAAACCTACACCAGTTTCTACTAATCACTGCTACCCATTATAGAAAAAAATACAGAAATCTGTGCAGGGGTCATTTTTAACATTTCCCATGAATCAGTGTGTCCAGCCTTGCATAACAAGCTGTGGGAAAGTAAGAGATATCAAAAAAAGCAATTCTAGCTCAGGTGGTTTGATGTCCTGTACCTAACAGGTACTGAGAACTACTCTGTAGCTGATGATGATAAAGTCCGCAACAAGTTTATCTAGTCAAGCTCAGGGTTAGGAAGGAATACAGAGAGGTGTGGTCACAATACATTTTTCTAAAGAAGCAACTTTAGAAATAGGGAGAGGAAAGTTAAGAACAAAAAGCAGTTAAATAAAATGACGCATATTCCTAATTCTGTGTTATCCTTTCCTAAGTTAAAGCCAAAATAGGACAGATAAAAAATCTGACATCCAAAAAACCATGGCAAGAATCTCACACAAAATCAACTTCCACATAGGTGAAGAAACACTTTTGTGGGATCAGATGATAACTAATGCCAAGTGAGGATTGTGCCAAGTAATGCCTATAACTTGACATAGAAATGCTTGGTTTGTTCTTTGGGCTCTGAGGTGACAATAACAGAGGCTGCGAACCCTCACAATTGATTGGAAACAAGGAACAAGGGCTCCCCCTCCTGGACAATCTCTCTGCCCATTCACCTTCCTTTGTGTTTAAATCAAAAGGAAAAAAGTTTCCATAACTCCTCCGCCCCCTCCCCTGACACACATGAACAGCCAGGGTTCAACAAGTGAGTATTGAGAAGCCCTTACATCAGGCACATTAATATTCAATCATTTCATTGAGTCTATCTATTGGTTTACAGTCAGATTCTTATACAACACATTCTATAACATAACACCAAAGGTATTAGCCACTATCCTCTTGATACTAGCTTTCCAGCATGGAACACTGGAATCATGCCAATCCATTGAAAAAAAGAAAAGTTTGAGAACCAGGAGAAGAAGGGGTTGGGGAATGGGAAGAGTGGAGGAGGAGGAGAAGGAGCTGAAAGTAGCACTTGGAGCAACTTCAGTATTGATAGAAACCAAGCAGAAGTCACAGCTTTAGTTTATTAGCCAGTTGGGCCAGTTAACAGGCCCATGATGGGGTAGACTTTAGCACACAGTTATAACCAGTTCAGACAAGTAGTGGGAAAGAGCCTGCCCCCAGTGGATCACCGTTCTCTATAAGAGTCTTCCCTGAGAATTGAGTTGAAGAGGCCCAAATATTCCTCCAACACTGGCAGACATAACTAACTTCACCCTCTGGGCAGAGTGAGTAAAGCAGAAGAGAGAGAATGGTGGTCCCTGTGAGAAGCTGTCACATGGAGGACTATGTCAGGATGAGAATAAAAAAAGCACTGATTCAGCCCTCCCTGGTGGCGCAGAGGGTTAATGCACAGCACTAAGAGGCTAAAGCCACTTCAACATGAGTTCAATCCCTGCCCCAGAGGTGACCCACATGGTACAGCAGACCTCTCCTGACCCGCCCACTGCTCCCCTCAGCAGTGTACTTTGTCCATCTGCCTGTTCTGCTCCCCACTCTGTCTCTGGTGAATCCTCTCACCTCCTGCACCTCTGGCCTGCACCCCAGTTCTGAATGAATAAATAAATCTCTTTTTAAAAAAAAAAAAGCACTGATTCTCTAAAATATACTGCTACAAGGGTCCTGGGGTAGGCAGATGTTGGCACACTTAGAGCTCTAAGACACCATGAGGCTGAACACAATGGTCAGCATAAACTCTGGCTACAGAGAAATTCCTTGGAATCTGGACTACTTTAGTTAATTATCATAAAGACTAAAATCACAAGTGAAGTGAGAATTATTGAAATATTTTAAGTAATCTTGATGAGTCTCTAATTTTAACTGATTACCCTCTCTGCTGGGTAGAAAACAAATAGCTGATCACATAACAATAGATGTGAGAAGACTGATGAGGAGAGCTTTGAATTAGTCCAGGTGAGAGAAGATGACGGCATGGACCCAGGTGATAGCAGAAGGGATGATGTAATAGTAATGATGACAATAAAAGTGACTGATACTTATCAAACATTTATTATGCATCCTGTTTTGAGAACTTTGTACGTCATCACTCATTTTATTACACTGGTAAGTGACAGAACCAGAATTTGAAACTGGGCACTCTGGCTCCAGAACCGACCCTCTCCAGCTTCCTCCAAACAGTGTAAAGTTGAGTATCTCTTCTGCTTTCAGAGAAATCAGCCCTTGCTCTCTCCTCCACTTTGCATTTCTATCCTGCTGCTACTTTCTTACCAAGAGAAATATTGTGCATCTACTATTTCCTCTTGAGCAAACCCTCTGGATTGGAACCCGAATGATCTATTGCCTGATGTATGGTTACAGTGTCCTTGGGTCTCCTTAAATCCCTCTCAAAATGATTCTTTTAGCCCAGTGAAGACCAATAATATAGAAGCCACTTCCTTAGTTTTTACACAGGCAGTTTTGGCCAAAATCCTTTACACTTTTGACACTGACTACTTGTGCAGGGGAAGAATAAGTAAAACATGACATTCTTTAGAGGTGGGCCACCAAATAAAATATTAATAAAATGAGAGAAATTATTTTTATGAGACTTTGTTGTGTAACCGTATTGCTTAATAAAACAAAGCAAATAAAAAACAACAAATATTGCTAAATGAGTAAACAAAGCATTTGGAAAGTGTGCCTCAATCCTTCCACTGGCAAAATGGAGTGAATAATATTTTTCATGCACATATTTAGAGACTGCTCTGGAGATGAGATCAAAGATGTAGAAGCATTTTTTCTAAATAGAAAGAAATATACAAATATAGGATCGTTCTAAACTATCCCCAAATAATCCAAGTAGGTTTGGGAAATCCAAGGCACTAGGCAGGATATTTGCCATAGTATCAAACAACTCCAGAAGAGTTAATAGCTTAACATAGTAAGCGTTAATTTTTCTCACTCATACTCCTTGTTCAATATGGCCCAACAAGGAGACTATTATTCATGGCTATTCACAGTGAACCAGCCACCATCTCAAGTGCTTCTAACTGCTATATCCAAAGGAAAAAAGAGAGCTCGGAACAGTCTGACACCCACAGATTATGCTTCAACCCAAATGCTCCCAATTCACTGTCCAGAAAGAGCACCCAAGTATCCAAAAAAGCAAGAAGCCAGAAACACTACCCCAGATATCACTACTGGCTACTCCAGCCAGAAGTGGAAACTAACCCTGATATTTGGAGAATGTGAGATATGAACTACAAAAAATAAATATCAGAAACCAATGTCGTGCTCCAAATTCAGTCCTGTTTTTATGCCAAACATCACAGATATTATATGTTATTCCCTTTCCCTGAGTGAATAGCGCTCTCAGCATCTTTGTTCTGTAGTCTAGGTGGATTCAACCGCCATCCACAACTCCAAACTTTAGGCTCATGCCCAGATTAGTTTAAGCACATTATATGACCCATTCTCCTATTTAAAATTTTGAGTTCAGGCATGACCTAGTCAATTCTGGAAATTTGCTGGTGATGTGGACTTTCTCCCTCTTTACTGGATTCCACCTGGAAGCAAACAG